CCGATAATCCTGCGATAACTGATTGCATCGAAGAGTGGCTGACCTGCATCCGTCAGGTCTGTGGGTTTCGTAAATGATGGATTAGCGACCGAGTTGCATTTTTGTAACTCAGCCATTTGAACAATAGAATTCGCATATAAACTTTGAGATAGAAAGTACTTATCTGGATAGGATTCTATCTTAATTCGAGAAACTGATGTGCTGGACCAAGGTCTTTCATAGCGAATTTTGATTTGAGTTGAACAACTAGATCAGTCATAGCCTTAACATTGTTACCGGTGAGAAGTATGTCGTCGACATACACTAGTAGATAAAGTTGGATGTGCTCACGGTGAAGAGTTAAGAGCGATGGGTCTGCCCTGCTATGAATAAAACCAATTTGAAGTAAGTAAGATGTGAAAGTAGTGTACCATTGTCGTGGAGCTTGTCGGAGATCATAGATGGCTTTCTTAAGATGACGGATATAGTTCGGTTTGGAAGGATCTTCAAACCCTTTAGGCTGTTTCATGTAGACCGTGTCCTGAATCTCACCGTGCAAGAATGCGTTTGCAACGTCGAGTTGATGAACCGGCCATTTGTGAAAGAGTGCAATCGTGAACAGAATTCGAATTGTTGGAAGCTTGGCAACCGGGCTAAATGTGTCTTGGTAATCAAGACCATATTCCTGTTGATTTCCTTGAGCTACGAGACGAGCTTTGAATCGCGCCAATGCACCGTCCGAGGTGTATTTTGTTCGGTATGTCCATTTTGAACCCAATATCGATCCATTTGCAGGAGGCGGTACAAATGTCCAGGTACCCTGTTTTTGCAAGGCTAAAAATTCTTCAGCCATTGCTCGTCTCCATTCAATCTTTTTGCAGGCTTCTGCGTAGGACGTTGGATCAGGTTGCAGTTGGGTGTGATGTAGTAAATTAAGTTTTTGGACAGGTTTAAGAGAGCCTGTTTTTGATCTGGTTGTCATGTGGTGGACAGGAGGTAGAGCTTGAAGTCTTGGCAGCGGACCAACTGCATCCGAAACTGGTGTAGGAGCAGTAGTTGCTGGATTGGTAGCAGTGTGTGAAACATGCTGGTCCGTAATTGGAAAACTTGGTTTATGGATTGTATGATTTTGACGTTGAATTGTCGAGGGAATAAGCAACGCAGGCGGTACATCTTGTGTAGAGGTTGTATCCGGAACAGCCTTGTGCCTGAATGGAAAAGTAGTTTCGTTAAATTTAACATTTCGCGAGATGATTAATTTGTTTGTTACCGGATTCCAACATTTATAGCCTTTTGAATTTTCAGAGTAACCAAGAAAGACACACGCGGGTGACGTGGGGCTTAATTTGGTGCGATGAACTGAAGGTAGTAGAGGATGACATTCACATCCAAAAACTCGTAAATGGTCATAGGATGGAATAATGTTGAACATTCTTTGTAACGGTGAGATGTTCTCAGTCGTAGTAGATGGAAGTCGATTGATAATGTACGTAGCAGTAAATGCAGCTTCCATCCAGTAGTTCATTGGTAAGGTTGCAGTATGAAGAAGCGTTCTTGTCATAGTTATGATATGACGATGCTTACGTTCCGCAATACCATTTTGTTCAGGAGTGTATGGACATGAAATTTGATGTCGTATACCGTGTTTTGCTGTAAATTCCTGAAGTTTGCGATTGACGAATTCGCCACCCCCATCGGTTCTAACGGTTTTTACCTTGTGACTAGTTTGTCTTTCAATAAAAGTAATAAAATGTATAAAAGTATTAGTAACATCTGATTTGTGTAAGAGAGGAAACAACCAAATAAAGCGCGAAAAATCATCTATAAAAACCACATAATACTTGAATCCTTGATGTGATGAAACCGGTGAGGGGCCCCATACATCAGAGTGAATTAGTTCAAGCGGAGCAAGACTTTTACTAATATATGTTTCGAAAGATAGTTTGTGACCTTTACAGGATAAGCAAGGTGTACAAGCAGAATTAAACGACTTAATATGTAAAAAATGGATGATTCTTGGAGATTTGCTGAAGAACCCGCTGATGGGGGTGTCCGAGACGGCAATGCCAGTCTACCGAAGTTGCAGCGGTCGCAGTGAAAGCTGTAGAAGTATGTTGCGGAGGTTGGCTTGCAATTTTGTACAGGCCATTACTACACGGCCCTGTGAGAATGACTTTGTTGGTCGTCCGATCCTTAAAGACAAAACCGGTTTCATCAAAGATTATGGAAATTGGGTTATCCTTAACCAAATTAGATATAGATAAAAGATTATACGATAGATTAGGAATATGAAGTAATCGAGATAAATTGAGCTTACTGGCCGGGGTAGGAAGGAGTCTCGAGCCCGTGTGAGCTATGGGAACGGACCTTCCGTCCCCAATGGTTACCGAATCAGTGCCTTTGTAGACATTGTAGGCGTCCAGATTATCAATGGTATTGGTCATGTGTGCAGAAGCTCCCGAATCAAGGTACCAATCAACCGCCGAATTGCTGTCGTTGTTAGCAACCAACGCAGAGTTCTGTCTTGAAGAGGTGTTTGTAGGATTCGGTACATAGTTGATGTTTAGCCGGTGCCAACACGCATCAGCAAGATGCCCTTTCTTTTTACAAATTTGACAGATGATGCCCGAATTCTGGGAAGATTTGCTTGACTGAAGTTGCTCGTGGCCTGATCGTCCTCGACCACGTAGACCACGACCTCTGAATGTGTAGAGAGCCGACTGTGTGTCCGGTAGTTTAGGATACTTGAGCGCAGCAGTCTTGAGATGAATTTCTTCACTCATAAGAAGCGCATACAGAGTATCTAAGGACAATGGACCTTGCATTGTGCGTATAGTCATTGTGAACGGCAGATACTCGGGAGGAAGACCATTCAAGATATAGATGATTACATCTTCCGGATCGACAGACGACCCTGCGGAAGAAATTTGATCCACGATCTTCTTTATGTCAGTGAGATACTGAGTCATGGATAGATTTTGCATAGAAATATTGTGTAGCTCATGTTTGAGTTAAATCACTTTGGATCGATTTGACGACTGAAATCTTGTATGAAGAGTCGTCCAGATATCGCTCATAGATTCGAGATGTATGGCGTACGGTAGAACCGCCGGCGAAATGGTAGAACACATTGCCGTTGCAAGATTTTGATCGGTGATGCGGCGTATTTGAGGATCTTGATTCGGATCGGCATTTTCTTGCGCGAATGAGGAGTCAAGAAAACCCGCAAATCCGTTCGCCTTGAACAACTTAGCTATTTGCGTACTCCAAATCGGAAAATTATCCGGCGTAAGAGCGTGAGGAACAAGAAGTTTGAGATTCGAAATTACAAATTTGAGGGCTGGCGGAATGAGCGACGGCATGGAAACAGAGTTCGTAGGGACTCCGATTGAAGAGGCAGCAGAATCTTGATGCGCCATTTGATCAGTCCGTTCAGGAAAACAAGACTCTTGATACCATGTAGAAATATAGAGACACGGTTGCAGACAGAATGAAGAAGAAGAAGAATATCATATTATTCCTTGCTTGCTGTAATACAACAGAGCGCAGTATTTATAGATATTACATTAGGCGTGTAAATAGTTAAGACCTGAAGTTAACAGTAATTACAAGAATGTTAAAACAGTTAAATACTTAAACATTTATCCTTGACACTCTCTCTAGCTCTCTAGTCAGCTTTCACATGAAACTAGTTAAGTTGAATAGTTAAAATTTTTATTTAAATAAAAAATTTCAGGTCTAGCGCCATGGCGCCTAGACTGCCTAGTCATGCCATACAAATTTTGACCTTGACATACAAATGCACCAAATTTGTAGGTTATTTTTTAGGATATTTATTTGATTTATAAATACACTTTGTTATAAGCTAGACAATTTGTGGCAGTAGAGTTTGTGTTTTAGATCTTAACTTTAGATAAAAAAATCTAGCATACACAAAATAAAATTGTAAGAGATTAATTTATTTTATGTGGAAAACTAAATTATGAGAAAAATCACGAGGCTTTGTCCAATAATAATACTCCACTATAAATTAAAAGATACAAGAATACTCTCTTCCTCAAATTTAAAGAAGATAAGATTATACATAATTGAGCAAAATTATTTGAATCTTATAATGGAGTTCCTGAAGAGCACTTGAACTTCTCCCTCATATAGAGAATGTGGTCATATTAATTTATAACATTTTTTAGAGTGAGATTTTTTATTAATCCCCTTAATTATAAATTATTTGTCTAATATAAGCCCGCCTTAATTATGTGAATCAAATGATCTTGAGCTCATTTGATTCGTCACATCGAGCTGCTCAATTTGTTTATAAACACGCGATATATAAGGAATGTTTGGTCCCTCAATTTAATTAGTCTCAAAATTTTATAATTATATGTCATGTGTTTGATTGAAGTTCATTTGGAGATAGATCAAATCATTTGTGATGCTCATAGATTCGTCTCATGGAGAGGCTGAGTTTGATCATAAATTCGTTGAAATCAAAGCTCTAAACATCATCAATTCAATATTGAAAGTTTTTAATTCAATTATTATCTCAAATAATTTTTTTTGAACGTATCACATATGATTTTAACCGCATATACGGAATTACCCCTAAACTTTAATCTATATGATTTTGATTTTTTGCAAAACGCTTTCATTAATTATATTTTCCCAAACATTTCCCATAAGAGTTCTGAGAAGTTTTTTTTTTTGGGGGTAATGTTGGGGCAAAGCCCGTTTTTATTGAAATTTAAAACAAATACAGAGTCCAACAATTCCTGGTGATTAGAGCACTCTCCATCAGGAGTGGATAACACTTTTAAAGTGTTAATATTCTTCCTAGATCTTATTTTTGCATAAAGGAACCCAAGGTCCTCTGAGAAGTTTTCTAAAATGATATTTATCCACATTAACTTTCCACAGATATTTGTTCAGATTAATGTATCACATGCTTTGTAAATGATTGCTTCGTTAATCTTGGAAGTTGGAAGAGATAAATCTGAAACTGAAATCTTCTATAATTTGTTCTGTAAACAGTTTCACACAATCTATCTATCTCCTACAATTGTTTTAAAAAAAATTCAGTGAATTAATTTTATAGCAAATCGCCCAATTCCTTCGATCAAATCTTATTCAGAAACTTTGTAAATCTTCGTCTGATTTATGAGACTTCGTTCAATCAAATAAGTCAACCATCTACACGTTTTCTTCGCCGTCTCCACCGCCTTCCGGCTTTAGCATCGTCCTCCCCTCCTTTCCGGCGAACCACTGCACCGTCCGCCGCGCGATGGGAAGCCACATCTGCCTCACTTTCTCATCTTTCTCTCCATGGCTCCGCAACGGACGATAACTCCTCACCGCAGTGATATCCGACATACACCTACTCGCCGGCGAGATCAAAGCTCTCATCCCTCCAGCCGAGAACTCACTCGAATACTCCTCCGCCACCATTTGCATCTGCAACGCCTTACTTTCCAATCTCCTCTTCCTCTCCATCTCTTCCTTTATCGTAGACACCCCTTCCGCCGCGACCTCCGGTGAAATCGCTTCACTGATCCCGCCGCTACTGGAGCCAGCCGGATCAAACCTCCTGCTCGATATCACCCGCAGCATCTCAGAATCGAGGCTGATCAAATCGGCTGAATTGAAATCGCTCCACCGGCTCCGAAAAACGACTTGGGAGACCATTATCCGGTGCTTGAAGTTGTGTAGCGGCTTAGCCTGCTTGCCGCCGGCGGTAAATTTCAGCCTCTCGGCCCACCGGAAGCTGGACCTGGCTCCGCCGGTTGGGACGAGCTCGCGCTCGACGTAGAGCTCGAGTCCGGAATCGCCGCCGTCTTCCACGACTTCCGGTGCGGGCCGGCCCAACGGGTCGCGGAGGTAACGTGAACTGGCGGAGTATTTGAAGAAAGCGATATCGTCAATTTCAACGCGAGTTCGGCAGAGAGGGCAGGATGAGTGAGCTTCGAGCCATCTGTCAATACAGTCCATATGAAACGCGTGCTTACAGCGCGGAAGGAGGCGGAGGATCTCGGCGTCGTCGAAGCGGGAGAGGCAGACAGAGCATTCGAGACCTTCACGGGAGCCTTTGAGGGCGGAGAATCGGAAGAAGGGGAGGGATTCTATCATCGCTTTTTCAATACCGGAAGACCGACCGTCGTCGTGCAGGTTTCCGTTGCTAGATATTATGATTCCAGGGATGGTGAAGAAGTTGGAGCCGTTGGAGTGGCAGAATTTGCCGTACACGAGGAGTAGGAAGGTTAGGGAGAACATGATGGAGAAGATTCCGATCACCACGGCGATGCTTGGACGAAAGGTTATCTGAGCGCTGCTTCCGGCATGGTTGGGCGATGAATTCGGTTCTGCCGCCGCGGCGACGATGGAGATGAGAAGTATTTGCAGAGTAAGGCCGGTCATCTCTTAGGCATCGCGGTGGAGTTAAGCTGGGTTTACTAGAGAGTTTTTTATTTAAGTAACGGTTAGGAGAACGCCATGAAATAAGTCTTAATTATTTTAAGACACAAGAATGGACGACGATGAAACCAAAAATTTTATAATTATTTTAATTTTTTATTTAAATGAAAAGCAATACTTATCTAATTATGAAAGAAAGAGAGTACTAATTAATTTAATTGACACATTTTTTAGAAATATTTAAGATATTGAATTGGAACTCTGCTTATTATATATGTTAACAAAATGGTGGTTTTTTGTTTTTATTTTCTTCTGGTTTTATCGGTATACCTCCGATCAAATTGAAAGATCCCAGTTTTTTTGGGGGATCTCTCACTCTAAGTCTTTTCTTCAAGCTCTAGCTGGATCGTCTTCCTCTTTTCCAGATTTGAGGCCTTCTACCTTTCGTGGTCTACCATCTCTTTGGGTTTCTGATGAGGAAATCAGAGATTTGGCTGTACCTTTTTGTTTTTCGTTAGTAGGTTTCTTCCCGTCGAAGCGTCCCCCTCTTGACGCGATTCGCAAATTTTTCTTTAATTTGAATCTGAACGGAGAATTTTTTGTTACCGTTTTGAATTCTACACACATTTTGATTAAGTTATCAAATGATTTAGACTATTGTAGGATTTTTTTTGCCACCGATCCTACATGGTTTTCAATAGTTTTATGAAATTAACTAAATGGTCTCCTACTTTAGATATCGGAGTTGAGTCGCCGATCATCCCGATTTGGATTTCCTTTCCTCATCTTCGTCCTCATTTCTTTGCGCCAAGGATTCTGTTTGGGCTTGGTGAGTTATTTGGCAAACCTTTAAAAATAGATGAAGCTACCTCGGTTGGTTCACGTACGTCCAATGCCCGTGTTTTAGTTGAAATTGATATTACCAAAACTTATACGAAACAAGTTTGGTTAGGATCTGAGGCTCTAGGGTATGTTCAGGATATGATTTTTGATGAATTTCCTCATTTTTTTAGTGTTTGTAAATGTTTAGGGCATGTGTCTGGTAAGTGCAAATCTGATTCTATGTTTGGTAAACCTGCTATTGCGAATGATCCAGTTGAGATTTTACCGGATGTTGGTGTGTTAAATGACGGTTTGGATGTTTCCTCTGTTCCGGAAAATGTGGCTAATATTATTGTTAATTCTGAGATGGCTGGGGTGGATTTGCTCACTGTGGAGCCTTTGGGCGATTCTCCGGCTGCTGGGATTGTCCCGGTTAATTTGGGTAATACGGTGGGTTATTTGCCCGTTGTTGGCTAGTGATGGTGGTAATTTACCAGCTGATGCTGGTGATTGTGTTATGTCGCATAAGGCTACCCCTTTTTTTCCTTCGGGTTTGTTGAATGTTTCTAATCTTGCGGCTTTTAATTTGGAACCTCTGGCGGCTGTTAGAGTGTTGGATGACTCGGTACCTGCAGCGGGTTCTGAGATTTCACCTGTTATGGGTGTTGTGGTTGATAATGGCGGTTTGCATGTGTCAAAGAATTTGGAAAGTGGTACTCATGGTGGGGTACATGTTGTTTCTGTCGGGATTGTGGATGAGTCTAAGCATATGGTTAGTGTGGAAGGGCTTTCTTCTACCAACAATTTGGTTGTTGTGCCAGTCAATAAGGTGGATGTTCAAGAGATGGCTACCTGTATGGGTAATTCATCTGGTTTGACGATTAGAAAACAAGGAGATTGGCTGATTGATTCATCGGATACTGAATCAGAGTCTGAGTTTAATGATTCTGACAATGATTTTGTGCTTGGGTGTAATAAAAATGCTGTCACTCGGGGGAAATTTTGGGGGAGGGGCCGTCGTAGGCGATGAGCTTTCAGTTAGTTTTGTTGATCTTCTTGCTGTTGCTCGGTTTTTGTTGGTTTTATTGTTGGAAGGGCAGGTTTTTGAGGCTATGGGCAATGATGTGGTCGGGGCTCGCGTCCCGGTCATCTTTGCTGGTGGCAACCGTTGGTGAGGGATTCGGGTTGGCTTATTGGGTTTTGCTCTTCACTGACTGGACGGTCTGTGCGGGTTGACGGGATGCTGGAAGCCTTGACTGTTCGCTGAGCCTTTTTCTTAGCTTGTATTTTTTGTCAGTTTGTTTTCTGTGATTTTTTTCTTTTTTCTTATATTTGTAATGGTTGTATCCTTGGATTTGAGATTATGAATAGAATTATTTTGTTGTTAAAAAAAAAAATTTATTTCATCGAGCAGCTGCCTCTCCAATACACATAATGCGACGATACAAACATTTCCTCGATAGATTTTATGGCGACAGAAGAAGACTAGGTGGCAAATGAGAAACCTACCCAATGGGGTTACAATGTTTTGATAGGTGAATTTGCTTGGCATGCTAAGGAAAATGAGCAGAACGAAATGACAAGGATTTGCATTTTTTTAATTCAAGGACTGTGACTTCATAATCAACCTATGAATTATTTGAATATCTTTTGTTTTTTTTTTTTTTTCATTTACTTCAATCCAAATAAAATGTAAAGGAATTTGACCTGCTAATCAAATTTAAATTTTTACATTTCATTTGGGACAATTTTCTTATTTCTTTATTTTTCAAGTCATAATTATAATTTTTGTTTGATTACTATTTAATTTTGTTGCTTTCATGAAATTTTTATACGTAAAAACTTAAACTGTTTTCTATAATAATTTTAAAAATTTACTTTCTCTATAGTAATTTTACAAGACAATAAGAAAGTTGCCTAAAAAAGGCTTCATTTGTGACAACTTTCTTATTATTTCTTAAAGCAATTTTTTAGTATAAAAATAAAAAAAAAATTATACTAGAAAGCTGTTTTAAGACGAAGAAAGAAAGTAGCCCCAAACGAAGTCTTAGGTTTTGTTTGGGCCGGCTTTCTTATTATTTCATAAAACAAATTATTTTTAAAAGCAGAAAGCTGTCACAAATGAAACCTTAGTTAAGAAAAAAATTTACTAGATTATCTTAATTTATAGATTTACCTAAGTGTTCAACTTAAAAATTATTCAACCTTTAAATCTAGGGAATTTTACATACATACCACTTTATTTTTTTTTAAAAGCAGAAAGCTGTCACAAATGAAACCTTAGTTAAGAAAAAAATTTACTAGATTATCTTAATTTATAGATTTACAAATTTACTAGATTATCTTAATTTATAGATTTACAAATTTACTAGATTATCTTAATTTATAGATTTACATAAGTGTTCAACTTAAAAATTATTCAACCTTTAAATCTATTACCTATTCTTTTGGAATCCCCATAAAGGAAAAACATATTTGATGCATATATTTAAGTTTGATTGATATTCAGTTGGAGTTCTTGCTTGATATTCATTTGTTGTTATGCATTTCTGCCACTTCTTCTATTTATGTAAGGCGAATCCACTAAAACAAAATGAAGTCAATTTATGGACAATTTTTTTCGATGAAATAAAACATTTTTCTTCATAAGAGATATTTCATCAAGGGTGTATCTTGATCAGGTGTGAATCTTGATGCAAATATGTATCATAAAATTTCAAAACTAAATTCGGGATCATCCAAACCTTAATTTTGACAAACATATAGCCAATTTAAACATCTTAAGAAAACGGACCCAATGATATAGTTTAATTCGAGCCCAAATCAAAGAATCAAAGTATATTTGAAAACATTAGAGTATCAATTTGATGATCAAATGATATTCAAATAAGACATGCTTATAGCAGACTCAAGCGTCTCAGCGAGGCAAATCCAATGATCCTAAGATCATTCAATTCTAATATATCTAAGATATTTAAATAATTGATAAATGCTCAATTAATGATCAAGGGGATCACTATGAGCCAGCCGATGGAGCACTCCCAACATGCTTTTAATATTCTTCATATTTGCTAGTCATGTCAATAAAAAAACTATAAATAACCCTCCATTCATCGCCCGCTAACCATGGTCCCTTCAACCACCAACACACATCGACTACGGTCATACCAACCACCCTCGTCTGTCGACTATTGTCCCTCTGACAACCATCGCCTGCCGACTACGGTCCCTCCAACCACCCTCATACGTCGACTACGGTCCATTCGACCTATCATCGCCCGACGACTACAGCCCATCCAATCGTTGCCACCCGCCGACTACGGTCCTTCCAACCACCTTCGCCCACCAACTACGTTCCCTCCAACCACTGTATCATGCCGTCTATGATCCCTTCGACCATCATCGCTTGTCGACTACAATCCCTTCGACCATCGTTGCCCGCCAACTGCGGTTCATCTAACCATTGTTGGCCGTCGACTACGTACGGTCCTTCCGACCACCATCGCTCGCCAATTATAGTCCATCCAACCACTGTCGTCCACTGACTACAATCATTCCGACCACATTCGCCTGCCGACTATGATCACACTAACTAAACAAACATGCCAACACTCTCTTAAGAACAACTATCAAGTTGTAATACGATCTATACAAAGTGTATTTACTATATTGAACCATTATCCTCTTCTGAGGAAGGGTACGTATCATTTGTAATCAACTACAAACATTAGTAGATTCATTCAAACTGGGTCAGACCTTGTGGTTTTTCTCCTTTTCAAAGTTTACCATTAAAATCTTGGTATCTCTCACGAATGATACTCCCTACTCTTTTATCTGTTTGTGTGCTAGATCTTCGTACAAAATTAAAACACTAAACTTTATATATCTCTACCTCCGCAAATATTCTAGGATGCAAAAATAAGTAACTGTAGTGGTCTATGTTACTCGAGAATTTATAATTGACTTTGATATAATTATTATCATAAGATGGAGATCTTTCTAGGATTGTTAATTTTACTTGTAGATTGGAAGAATGCTAACAGTTCAGATCCGTTTATAATATAAGTAAGATAGGCTAAAATAAATTTAATTTGAGTGGGTTGAAAAAAAAATATTATTACTGCATGTTAGAATATTTGTGATATGTACTAGAGTTAGAAGGTTTATTATCTTAATATTGTGTAAAGATATAGCATGCACACGTGTTAAAAAAAATTACAAGAGACATTAGATAAAATCAAAAAAAGGGAAAAAAACTGCAAGGCATGTCTCAGCTTATACTAATGT